ACAGTTTTGAATACAAATTTTGGCAGGCTTTAAAAATCTTCATATACCTCAATACTCCATACAAGAAACTACATAAATCAGTTCAACATATGAGGAATATTATCTTGTAAATTATAGTACTTTGGCTTTGCAGATTGTATTTATTAAATGCCTCCCTTTTCCCCTCCAGAAAGGTCCTTTTTCACTTGCAGAGACTAATTATACCATGCCCACAAGTTATAATATTATTAAACTTGCAGTACTGCACATGAAATACAGTTCCAGATAATTAAAAAAGCCCTTTAGTAACACTCACTTAAGTGCAGAAACCAATTCTAGAAAAAGCTCTCCTCCAGTGCAGCAATGCTCACTATTTTTAAAATTAGTACAGAAGGCTTGGAGAGGAATAGCTCCTGGGTTGGGGGGCTTGTGGGGGGGGTGCTGTGAAAGAAAATTGGCAGAATTGTGATTTTGCCACTTTCTTCCACACTAGGAAGGTAGATGGATAAAGGTCTATTTTAGCAAACATTGTTAACAGTAATCTGTAACTTTAAAGTATTAAAAATTAACAGCACTTACTCAGGGCCTACTTTCTACCAGGTATGGGCAGAGAATGATTACTACTCACAACAGAAGCCATACCAGCATAGGAGACATGCTTTGTTTTGCTGATGCACAGGTATGGCACAAACAGATGTTTAGCTATTCCAATTTACTTCATTAGTCTAGAAATAGTTGTACACTTCATGGAATTAAACTAACAAGAATGATACAGACAGAACAACTGATGACTTTTTGCTTCTGCCTTTTCAAATAGTAGTTACTGTGACTGAACTCTTTATGGTTGGAGTAAATTATAAAAAACAATGTTTTTGACAACATGGTAAAAGCTGAAGTGGCAAATAAAAAGGAATTCAAAACATTACATGGATGTGCTGAAAATACTTTGCAATGGTCAGAGGCAAGTATCCGGCTTTGGCTTGAAACAGAAATATTTCAGTTTACATATGTCTCAGCCTTTGTCTAAGAGTTGATTATTTTTAATGTGCACATGCAAGAGGAAGCAACTTTTGCTCATAACATGAATATGTCTACAGTCTACCATCCTAAAGACTCCCTCAACTTATGAAATACACTCTCCACACACTGCTTACAGAATACCAGCAAGATCAAGGCAGGTCCTTGTCTTCAAAAGTTAGTTTCAAGGCTTTAAGATAAATAAAATGTCATTTCAAAGTTTGCCAAAAAGTCCTCAGCTACAGAAGAGCTCTGCTACTCTTAGTTTGTACAATGTGCTAAAGCAGGATGCTTTTCCTTCCCCCAGCGTCAGAACCATCAGCCATCACTATCCTTTCTCCCACTGTCATTCCACTGGCTGTATTCCTCTTCCCCCAGCCCAACAATAGTGTCAGTATAGTTGCCAAATTCATGATGGTAACGCCTAACAATCTCATCCATGTGTGATTACACTTCTTAAAAGTCCATCTTATTTTTGTGCTTCCGAGAAACACATCATGATGGTTGGGTCTTGGTTTCACGACATAACTGTCATTATAATCTATCTGCAAAATGCCTTATCATGCTAGCAAGGACTGAAGCATTTACACTTTCAAAATTAAGCTTAGAAGAAATACAATTTGAAAACAACTCTCCCCTTCTGTGTCAGGAGAGCTATAGAGTCTGTAACCTATACAACATTAAGCACCAGTGACCCACAGCATTGGAACCTACTGTTCCCCACAGTGAGGTACTTCAAGTTTCTATCCCGTAACAGACACTCCCAATATATGTAAAAATACCATAACTGCATCAATTAATTCACAGGAGGGGAAGTGTTCAAAATTAAACAGCTGGCTAATGAAATGTGCTATGTCTCACTGCTATTAAGACAATCAGAAACCTGTATTTTTGAAAAACTGAGACCTAGAAGCAAGAAGAGAAGACTATCACAGCAAACTGGACACAGTTATGATGGATGACAGTGAACTGAAGGTCTTTCTTGATTTCTGAAGGTTGAGAGGAAATTCATGGGACACAGAGCTGGAGGTAACCTATTCCCAAATAATTTAATGCAGAATTACCTTAAAAGTATTCAACCATTTGCAATTTTTCAAAAATGCAACCATTGCGGGTTTTTTTTTTTTTTAAATAAGAACCAGAAACAAAGAAGATAAGGAAACTTGTTTGTCCTTTCATGAGGAAAAAGAGGTTCAACTATTTGACCAAAAAAAAAAAAAAAAAAAAAAAAAAAGAAGTCCAGATCATCCATTTATTGCTTTATGGAAAAAGCATTTGTTGAATTCAAACATGAAAGTACAGATCAGATCTAACGATCTGCGGACACCATTACAGAAACAAGGATTTGTTTCTAAAAAAAAAACAAACGGAGATTATGGATTCAGGAAAGGGGAGCTTATGAGACAGAACTGCTTGCAGATATGCTGCTTTTCAGTATTCTGTAAAGCAATTCAGCAGAAAGAGACCTCATGCTCATTTTGATTTGCCACCAAGATCAATGAGAGTGAAGATGTTTCTAAGGACATCTCCTCAACAATAAGATCTTATACTAGAGGACCATGATGAGAAAGTGATCTGCATTTAGACTGACTCTGGCTCTTACTCCTTTAAATGCATTTTTATTTTCAAATTCAACACTTGTCCTGTTTCACCCTGAACAGTGCCCGCAGTGACTTATTCTTATGCAACATCGACAGAACTCCTGCTTAAGAATTTCACAAGTCAATACATCTACAGCTTTTTCTGCAAATCTATGCAATATCAAGAACTCAATCCTTGTACGTTTTTATACCACTTCTGATTCCAAATGAAACTAGATTAAGCAAGTTTGCTGATGATACAAAACTGAGAGGAGTGGCTGATACACTGGAAGGCTGTGCTGCCATTCAGCGAGACCTGGACAGGCTAGAGAGTTGGGTAGGGAGGAACCTAATGAAGTTCAACAAAGGCAAGCATAGGGTCCTGCACCTAGGGAGGAATAACCCCATGCACAAGTACAGGTTAGGGGTTGACCTGCTGGAAAGCAGCTCTGCTGAGAGGGACCTGGGAGTCCTGGTGGACAAGTTAATCATGAGCTAGCAATGTGCCCTTGTGGCCAAGAAGGCCAATGGTATCCTGAGGTCCATTAGAAAGAGCGTGGCCAGCAGGCCAAGGGAGGTTATCCTCACCCTCTACTCTGGTGAAGCTGCATCTGGAGTACTGTGTCCAGTTCTGGGGTCCCCAGTTCAACAAAGATAAGGAACTACTAGAGAGAGGCCAACGGAGGGCTATGAAAATGATTAGGGGACTGAAGCATCTCTCTTATGAGGATGAGATAGCTGGGTCTGTTTAGCCTGGAGAAGTGGAGACTGAGAAGGGATCTCATCAACACTTGCAAGTGTCTTAAGGGTGGGTATCAGGACGATGGGGCCAGACTTTTCAGTAGCACCCAGTGATAGGCAATGGGCACAAACTGAAACCCAGGAAGTTCCATCTGAACAAGGGAAAACTTCTTTACTTAGAGGGTGACAGAGCACTGGAACAGGCTGCCCAGAGAGGTTGTAGAGTCTCCTCCGGAGATATTCAAAACTCACCTGGACACGATCCTGTGCAACCTGCTCTAGGTGAACCTGCTTTAGCAGGGGGGTTGGACTAGATGATCTCCAGAGGTCCCTTCCAACCCCAACCATTTTGTGATTCTGTGATTTTAATTTTCAAGACATTATGTGCCATTTTGTTGTTCTCCAAGAAAACAAAGAAAACAGAAGTGCATTAAGTAGTTCTGCAAATATTATATTAAATTGCACAACTGTCATCAGAATGAAGATTAAAAAAAAAATGTAGTTTTCAAGAAAACAGACACCTAACTTAACCCTGAATTTCACCCAAACTTCTTCGGTTTCAAGCACCCAATTCCTGTTTATATCCAATAACTAACTCTATAATTACCTAGTAACATTTTTGATGTTACCTCGTGTAGAAAAGCAGTGCAGCAAGATCAATGTAAATGTTGTATTTTCAAAATTATTTTTGTAATCACAACTGCTGTCTCTCAGCAACTTCCAAATACAGTTGAGGATTTGATAAGTGCTCTATTTAGGCTGTTTTAGGAACTGTTTCCACTTCAAACTATCTTTTCCAAACATTCAACAAAATAAGTTCCTCTTAAAAATCAAAATAACGTATTGATTTTATCTCAACTATAGAAATTAGTTGTTTTTTCAGCTTTCTGTTTGGAAAACAGAAGCTATTTGAATACAAAGATTTCTGTCAAACAGTTTAATTCTTAATGTTTCTGCAAAACTGAAGATGACAGTTCATAGGACTGCCTTTGCACACTTCCTCAGAATGCTGTTTCTCTTCAGCTGCTAATTACCCAGCCCTATGCCCCACTTGGACATTGAATAAGTCTTGCCTCATTACACTGGATTTCTGCAGTATGCCTCTCCTACTAGAACTTTTCAGCCTCATATTTGTTCTACACAGATAACTTGGGTGTAATTTAAGCATCTCCTGGGCAACATTTAGAGGTGCAAATAATGGTTATATTCATTAAAGAGAAAGCACGATAAGGGAGCCTGACTGATACAGATTAACAAGTTTTTTTAAGGAATGGAAGTAAATTCCTGAGAACTGTAGCTATCTTCATGACTGTAGAGAGTACCATTTGTTCCTTGTACAGGATCTATTTTTTTCTCCTTAATAGTTTTTGTTTCCTCCTTACTGAATGCAGCGTCAATGAGTTCCACTTCACAGGAAAAGTTTAAGGCAGGGCAGTATTTAATGCAACAAAACAACATCTGTATCAAGCAGCAATGACATGTTTAATTTATTCTCATTCAGAAGAGAATCTGTAAAAGTCATAGAAAGCATCACCTTCATTTACTATTACTTTTTATATATAAGCAAGAAACACCACGCTGCATGACTGAGGGTAGAAAGAACACGTTTATCACCTATAAGCTTTTCAGCTGATTTACTGTTTTATGCTAACGTCACTAAGCACAAAAATACACTCTACTCACCAAATAAATTGCTTGAATGTCCTTGCTTAGATATGGGTTTCAGTTCATTTAATCCCCACGCGTAACGCTTATAATTATCCCAGGCATGCTTCATCATCTGTAGAGAAACGAAAGCAGGATTAAAACGTTGATTTAGCAAGAAGCCACAGCAAATACTGACTTGAGAATATTCGCAATATTAAACATATTTAATTCAACACTTAATTAAATTCATGTCATATGCATTAGAACTATGAAATACTCAAAACAAAGTGGCACTGTTTTCTGGGCAGCAGTGGGACTGTTACCATAAGAGTTCCATGTCTGTCCCATCTACCTCTACCATTATCTGCATGCTTATGATCAAGCCACACTCAAAAATAAGTAATTTTTAGGACGGGAATTTATTGTGTTATATATCAACTCAAGTAAGATTTTATTTCCCTTAAGCACACATCTGTGAAACTGAGGGCAGTAAACATTTTTAAAGGAGTTTTTTGCCTAGAGCAGGATCTTTTAAGGTCAAAATTAAGCTCACAGTAGTTTTCGGATTCTGGCAGAGACTTTCTTGCATAAAACTAGCTGGTTCAAACTCAGTACAGCTAATAACAGAAGAAGGAAGCTAAAGGGGGCAAGGCAGAACACCTAGGAAAGGTTTTGAGGTTATGATGGTATAATCTTCTATGATTACAAATGCTACTGTATGCATCTGTAGCTACTTTCACACGTCATTTTGCACAAATAGACAAGAACTTTTACAATTAAACATATCACTGCAAAACCGTGTTTTGGAGAAAGAGGTGCACCACAAATAAATACTGCTTTAGGAAACTGCCTTGGGGAACCCAGCACAGCAGCTCTTTGGTAAGAGCAGAGGACATCCATGTCAGAAGCAAGGACACCAGATTGACTCAAGGACACCTCGCACTCTCTACCACCATGAGCAGCCAGACCTAGCCCAAACTGTCAGGTTTGGGGGTGGTCCAGGCGCATGGCCAGGAGCCCACCTGTCCCTCCCCAACCACGTTGGCAAGGACACACACAGCTCTGCAGGCCTGGTGAAGAACCACTACCATTCCAGCAGGTCCAACACCTCCCTTTACCAACCACCACCTTTAATGCCTGCTCAGGAAGGGTACTTCTTTAAGGGATGCCACAAGCAGCCTAACTTTACGGAACAGAAGGAAAGATTTTGCGGCCGCTGTTGTCCCTCCCCTCTTCCACAAGGCAGAGCAGCACTGTGAATGCCAGAGGTCATCTTCTAGACGAAAAGCTACAATTTCAGACCTTTTCAAAGATACTGCTTCAGGCTGTCAGCTGACAACACTGCTCTGCCCTTGCTTTCAGACCTCTTCTTGAGGCCATGTGTTGTCAAGGATAATTCTGTTAAATAACAGTTATAATCCTAAATTTAAAAGCACCAGCCTTGGGACTCGCTGATAATAGTAATCCAACACTTTCTTCCTTTCTTTTTCCTTTGCTCAAATCACATAGAGAAATTATGTCAATTAAAAAATCTTCATTAAACCAGACTATAATAAGTGACAACAGGCTTTCTACAGTACTGCTACACTTGTAAGAATAAATGTTTCTTTGCTATTTACAGAAACATAAGCATGCATCTATCTTGCAGGAAAATTCAGGCATGTTAATTTACTCTAGAGCCCTTACAGGCCCAGCCTCACAACTGCAAAATTTGGTATCTGCATTTAACACATGACCATTTTCAACAAGAGGGTTTGCCTGGCGTCAGATCTCAGCTGAAAGGCAGAGAGTAAGAGGCTGTGTGGAAATGTTCTGGCCACGGACGGCACCGACACACTGGATGGCAGGAGCAGTGTCTTGCTTGACTTCATTGCAAAACAGTTTAGTAGCTCTCCAAGGACAGGGTATTTTGTCCCAGCACAGAACCAGTAAGAGGCAGCCAAATAGTAGACTTCATGTCTATGGGGCATTCCCAATCCCTGGCTACAGGGATCAAGATCATATGAAACCGATCATTTGGGCACCACATATTTTCTAATTTACCATTGAAATTTTCCAGTAATTTTGCATATTATACAAGAAAGATTATATTCTGCCCTGCCGTCATGTGTCAGACCTGCAAGCTCAGCTTTAGCTATTAAAGCATAAATTCTCAAAGATTTCAGCAGGCTAAATCCTGCCCTGCACTGAACCTGACAACAAATCTTTTTAATTTGTTTAATCTTAAATCTGGAAACCATACACAGAAGGGTTCTTTTTTTTTTTTTTTTTTTAATCAAAGTTGTAATTAAGTGGTCTGAATCAAAGTGCCTAAAGATGTGGTAGTATAAAGGTGGGTGATGGTCTCTTCTCCCTGGCAACGGGCAATAGGACAAGGGGAAATGGTCTGAAGTTGGGTCAGGGCAGGTTTAGGTTGGATATTAGGAAAAATTTTTTCAATGAAAAGGTTGTCAGGCACTGGAATGGGCTGCCCAGGGAAGTGGTCAAGTCCCCATCCCTAGAGGTATTTAAAAGCTGGGCAGACAAGGTGGTTAGGGACGTGGTTTAGTGGTGAGATGGCAGGGTTAGGTTAACAGTTAGACTTGATGATCTTAAAAGGTCTTTTCCAATCTAAACAATGCTACGATTCCATTACAAAATTAAAATTGCTCAAGCCAGTACTGCCATGGTCCTTCCCTTTCCCCCTGTTTTTTCTCCTAGCACATCCCTGCTCCGTCTCTTGCGTAAGAGATGCAGTGCTCATCTATACCCATGCCAAGTCAGTTTAGGAAACAAAACTTTTGCAAGTGAAATTTTTGTTTTGAGGATCATTTTTGTCCTGTCTCATTCCCCAGGTCAGATTGCCATGAGTTTCAGTTACCAAGCAGGAAAGGCAGGAACAGCTCCAAACCCAGTTCAGTTCAACCAAAACAGTCACAAAGTGCACAACACTACAAGATGTCCCATAAGTACTCAGCTTTAGTTTTTCCAACTGATTGACATTTTTATTATATTGTATTTTAAATGCATGTGTGTGTACTCAACTTTGCTAAGAACCACCACTCTGATTACCTTACTGTTAGTGAACCCCTAGACAGTAAGACAGGAAGCTAACCCACGTACTAGACTCTACCTTCCAATAACAATTATTATTACATGTTAATTAACAACTTTTGTTTTGTTTTCCAAAATGTCCTTCCATTTTGCTGAGTCTAACTATTCAGGTACATTAGTCTAACTGTTTCTTAGAAATTATAATGCATGAATCAAAAAGCCAAACAGACAAAACCAATAATTTGAAAAAAACCTGAAATCTTAAGAAATACTTCGGGGTGTGTGTGTGTGTGTGGGGGGGAATTACTATGATTTACTGAGAAAAAGAGTTAATCTCTTTTGGCTAATCAAAGCTTTAATTTAAAACTCCTCTAGAAAGTCTAGATTTAGATAAAAACACCAACCTTAGTTAAGTATCCTAAGAAAATGCACCTTTAGAACATCCTTGTTTCAGACATTTGGAGGTTTATGGACATAACATTGAAAGCAAAACGCAACTCCAAAAGCAGTCAGTGAGCCCTCTAGTGTTTCAAAAGGACAGGACTTATTCCAACTAGACAGATGTGAATGGCTGTTTAGCAAAAAGTTACTAGGACTCAGTGTTACTGTACTTACTGTGTAAAACAGCCCATAGATATTGTAGCTTAAACCCCCCCCCCCCACCTTAATCAATACTGCCTGCTGGACAAATGAGTTTGTGCTTCTAACCTAGCAAGAAGTCTCAATTTCTAGAATTCAATACATCACAAATACTCTACATTCTTTTCCCCCCGTGGAAATTACAAAACTGTATTAAGTTGCCCATTAAATGAATTTCCTCGTTTTCAATAGTTTTGTTTTATATGTAAGAATGAAAAAGTTCTAAAATATTGAGTAGCAACTTGAATAGACCCAGCCCACCGATAACTAAGCCTTTGCTGAGGCAAAACTCCTAGGACTGGTAGTTCAGGAATTAATTTTAACCATTTACTGGAGAAATACATCTATCTTTGTAGTCTTCACCTTCCTGTTTGCATGAGCCATCCCCAAATCAGTATCTCCAGATTTTTTGAATTCACAAAGGCCCTTCTGATCATTTCTCTGACTGCTTGTGCAAGTACTGTTGATCACTTCAAATGCCTAAATAAAGACGACAGTTACTGAGAACATCTGTATTTCAGCACAACATTATGGATCCTGTTAAAAAGAGAAATTCCTAATGATGAAGAGTCTAACAGCTTTTGACCAGATGATTCCAGATACTCTCAAACTCCTTTACAGTGTAACTAATACAATTATTTCACCTGAGTGCTTTCAAATAATTCCTTATTAGTCCTCCAGGATGTCAATAGGCAGTTATATCTGTACAGACGTATTCCTCAGTCCTTCTAGTTTTACCAATATATGTTCATTGAACCTCAAACTCCAGAAGAACCTGACAGCTTACTGGGAAGCCCCATGTCTACATCAGCAAAGCCCATTTCCGATGGAGCGCTCTCTACCTCAGGTCACTCACAATCAGAAGTGACAGCCGAAGGCTTGACTAGCTAGCACTATCTCACTAATATGCTGGCTGCTTTTACATCTTCAGAAAAAAATGCAGCACTGATTTGTTTCTTATGAAGTCAGAAATGCCAAAAAAATACCCCATCTCTGTTGAAGAATAACAAAGTGTGCTATTGTAATTTGTCCTGGTTTCGGCTGGGATAGAGTTAATTTTCTTCCTAGTAGCTGGCATAGTGCTGTGTTTTGGATTTAGTGCTAGAAGAATGCTGATAAGACACTGATGTTTTAGTTGCTGCTGAGTAGTGCCTAGACTAGTCAAGGACTTTTTTTTTTTTTTTTTTTTTTTCCACCTTCCCCCTCTTTCCCGGGGGCACCACACAAGAAGGTGGGAGGGGGCGCAGCCGGGACAGCTGACCCAACTGGCCAAAGCGCTATTCCAGACCATATGACATCCTGCTCAGTATAGAAACTGGGGGGAGTTAGCCAGTGGACAGCGATCGCTGCTTGGGGATGGGATGGGCATCGGTCAGCAGGTTATGAGCAATTGCATTGTGCATCACTTGTTCGGTATATTCTATTATTATTATTACTACTACTACTTTTTTTTTCCCCTCT